AAGACCAGAACTTCGATTTGCTGCATTTCTAAAAATTGAGTTACTTTTCAATTTCTTTGGTTATTGGCAGGAGTTCTCTATGGAAAATCAATTTATATGGTTGTGAAGGGCCACACATGACAAGCTCCATAGAAATCAATAGAATTTATGGTGGTGGCGACGGAGAAGAGGATAGAACATGTAATAAAGCCATGTGTATTTCCACCCCCCTTTGGCGGAATTGTGGCATTACAAATCGCTTTTTTATTTGCAACTCAATACCGGATGAACATGAAAAATGCATCAGCCGGGGAAAATGCCTACCCAAAGAAAATACATTTTTCATATTTGTTTTTTCATCCTCCCTCCCTCCCCCTCATGGTTTATTTTTTTTTCTTGGTTTTGTTTTGCTCCATTTGTAAAGGCTTTTTTCGCATCAGCTAAAGAAAGGAAATGAGGGCAGTCTCCAGATTTTTTTTTTTTTTTTGGAAGTCTATTAATGTGAAATGGGGAAGGGAAGGGGAAATGAATAGAAAAGTAAATGGAGATTTTAAGTTTATTGACCTCGAAGAGTATTATTTGACGATGGGTGGTGAGGTCAAATATAAAAAAAACAGAACTAAAAACATTTCAAAAAAAAAAAATCTCAAAAAAAATTATAAAAATATAAAGAAATTTAAAATAAATTATATTAATTAGCAAACTTTCCGAACACACGGATTTTTCAAAAAAATTTCAGTAAAAAATACTTTTGAGAATTTTCCTCTTTCAAGTTGAACTTATAATGACCTAGGGGATAGCATTAAAAATTGGAATCAATTTTTATTATTTTTTTTTTAATTTTCCAAAATCTTTCATTCAATTTCTCGAAGAGTAATATTTGAAGATTGGTGGTGAGATAAAAGGCAACAAAACGGAAATTAAATCTAAAAACTTTTCAAAAAAAAATTTTTTTCAAAAAAAAGTATAAAAAATAGTGAAATTTAAAAAAATATATAAAAATTAGCAAAATTTCCGAACACACGGATCTTCTAAAAAAAATGTCAATAAAAATACTTTTGACAATTTTCTCTTTCGAGTTGAACTTATGAGGACCTAAGGGGATAGCATTGAAAATTGGAATCAATTTTTATGTTTTTTTTTTTTAAATTTTCCAAAATTTTCAATTCAATTTTTTTTACCAATTCCAATACTTTATGGTTCAAACAAAAAATTTTTCCATTTGCACTGATGACAATTATTCTTTACTTTTCCAAAAAAATCGAAACGAAACGAACCTTCCCCAACCCCCAACGAACATCGTTTTCCTTTGAATTGTGCAAATTCTCGGTTACAGCTATTTAATATTCAAATCACAAGAACAGACACCGTCGAATTCCTGTTAAAAGTTGTTAATAAAGTAAATAATGGAGTCTTTTCAAACAAATGAAACAATGAGTGGGAATGTAGCAGATAATAATGCCGGCACAGTGGGTTGGAGAACAAAAAAAAATAATAATAATAAAATAAAAAATTAGCATTTGTCCAAAACTTGAAAAATAGCCGATTCTAAGAGATTTAAAAAAAAATATATCCAAAGAAAATACTCGTCAAGTAGACATTGGAAAAAATATTTAACAAAAAAATATATATATTTAAAAAAGATATATTCGTCATATAGATTTTGAAAAAAAAAATATATTGCACAGTGGGTTGGAACTAGGAAAAATATTTTTTATAAAAATGTGCATATGTAAATTTCCACTGTAGCCAGGTATTTCCTTTATTTTCCGAGATATTCCGAACATTTTCCCAAGTTAAAACTCAGAATATGAATCATTGCTTATTCCTTGATCTCTTCCATTGATCCCCAAAGCCCTATCACTTTCCATTGCGCAGATATCTTCAAAATTATAAAAATACGTAATAATTAATAGTAGTCATACGCCAGAATGTCCAACATTAAAAAAACGCGATATTTATGGTTATGGAAAGGTGTTGACTTCCATTTGTTGGTGAAAATAGAGTCACGCATCCCTCAACTATTTTCATTTGGCGATTAATAGAATATTTTTTCCTAAAGCCATCTATTTCATATTTCCACTATTTGCTTTATATATTCCGCCATATATTATGATTCTTGTCTAAAATTTTCTTTAGAGCAGATCAAGGATAAGAATTTTGGTTTATACCCTGATCTCTTCCGAGTAAATGCTGCTTTTTTCCAGGGCTCTATCTCTTTCCGCTGCGAAAATATCTTCAAAATTGTAAAAATACCGAGGAATTAAAAATAGTCATACGACAGGGTGTACAAAATTCATTTAACCTTATATTTAAGGGTTTGCCGAGCTATAATTTTTTTTTTTTGCGAGAAATAGGCTTACCTACCTCTCTTCTACGCTCCTGACCCAAATATTCACTTACAATACCTCTGAAGTTATCTATTTTGTGCTAACTAACAAAACTCAAACCTATTTCTATAATTTTCTGACTATTTTCCACGTTTTCCCTTAGCTAACATCCAGAAGATTTTCGTTTATTGCCTGATATCTTACGAGTAAATGCCACTTATTCTCAAAGCCCTATCAATTTCCATTGTAGAAATATCTTAAAAATTGTAAAAATACTCCGGAATTAAAAATAGTCATACGCCAGGTTGTCCAGAATTCATTGAATGCTATATTTAAGGTTCTACAAAGCTGTGGACTTTCTTTTTTGACCAAAACGGTTCAATATACCATTCCAAAGAACTTCATAGACGATTATTCGGATAGAATACCCCTGTATGCAACTTTATGGTGATAGCTGATAATATTCCAAATTATTTTTGAATTATTCCGTGACATTCTTTAATTTTTTTTCCTGAATTTCCATCTACATCTGGCAGAGTTTGTAATTTTGGTTTATTCCCTAATATCTCCTGAAGATTTTGCGTCCTTACACTGGCCCATAGTAGCTTCCGGTGGAGAATTATGATTAAAATTATGAAGATACTCAAGAATTTATAGTACTTATACGCCAGGATGTCCAAATTCATTAAGGTGCGATATAGGGACTGCATCAAGCTATTGTTTTTTCTTTCTTGGTACAAATGGGATCGCTTGTCGTTTGAGCGAGCCTCACCAGGCCGATAATTTGTGTTAATTGGCTTTGCACCACTTTTTTGGGTGGTGGCTTACAATATTCTAACGTATATTCAATTCTACCGCGACATTCGTTCCACATTTCCCTGAAATTTCCCTCTGCACCCTTGAAGATTTATAATTTTGGTTTATTCTCTAATATCTCCTGAAGATTTCCCAACCATTCCCTGTCTAATATAAGCATCGGTTTGGAAATTATTGCAAAAATTGTAAATATACCCAATAATTAATAATACTTATACGCTAGGGTGTCCAAATTCATTAGAATTTAATATTAAAAATGTCACGACATATTCTCAGATTAGATTAAGGCTCTTTCTGCCCCGCATACCAATTATTCAGATATATATAACTCCTGCAGCAAATTTTTTTAGAGGGGTAACTGTCAAGATTCCATTTTATTTCAATTTATTTACCGATATTTCTTGAATTTCTTCCCAGAATTTCCCTCTGCACTCGTAAAGATTATAATTTTGGTTTATTCCCTGATATCTCCCGATTATTTCCCGCTGATTTTTAGGTCAATTAATAGAATATATATAAATCCTGCAGCAAATTTTTTTGAAGGTAACTGTCAAGATTCCATTTTATTTCAATTTATCGACATTTCTTGCATTTCTTCCCAGAATTTCCCTCTGCAATCGTAAAGACTATAATTTTGGTTTATTCCCCGATTTCTCCCGATTATTTCTCGCTGATTTTTAGGCCAATCAATTTTTTTTTTTTGGTTGTAACTGTCAAGATTCCTTTTTTTAATTTATTTATCGACATTTCTTGGATTTCTCCCCAGAAATGTCCTCTGCACTCATAACGATTATAATTTTGGTTTATTCCTCCGTATCTTCCGATTATTTTCCGCAAATTTTTAGGCCAATATCAGTTTCCATGGGGAAGTTATGAACAAAATTCCAAAAATACCCACGAATTAATAATACTTATACGCCATGATGTCCGAGTTAATAAAAATGCCATTTTAAAGACCCCAGCCCTCATTTTTGTTTATTTTAAAATCGGAATTGATACACTTCACGACCCACTGTGCCTGGAAATGATATTCATGACATATACCTCCCTACAAGTTGTCTATCCTATTCAGTTTTGTCCGTCCGTCCGCCTGTCTGTCTGTCTCCCTCAACGGATGGTAATGCACCCACACATTACAATACATGAGTCGTATCTCCATTGTTGGGCTGTTGTAAGCTTTGCTATTTCTTTTTCATCCTCTTCATTGTTGTTGTTGTTGGCGTTGTCTCTCTTCTTTCACGTTTCATGTAGGAGGCATAGCCGAAGAACACAGCGTAGAAAAAAAATATGCAAATTAGTTTAAAGCAATGCAATGCACAGAGCAAAGGAACCCAGAACGACAAACTCTGTTTTGTAAAGAACACCAAAAAGACGTGAAGTACATTAAAAATTCGTCACGCTTTTGAGGAGGAGACAGAAGACACCGAAGAAGAAGAACAACAACACAAAAACGATGGGATTCTTAATGAACATTTTCTGTTTTTGGTTTTGGTGGGCTGGTGAATGTGAGTAAATGTTTGAATTGTTTAAATGATTGTAAATTATTTTTAGGTTAGACTCTGACTTCGTGGTTGTGTAGGGTCTCCGAAGAAAGCCTTCGCCTGCTAATGATGATTCATTAGCGTTACTTTTTTGGGGCGTCATGGCTAAGCTTTGCAATTTATTTACACAATTAATTTCCTTTGCTGTCCTGGCAATAGTCAATAAGGTCCGGCATAATTTTCCATGGAAAACGTGACCAGAATTTTATTTTCCAAACGTGTCCCAAAGCCTCAAAAGGAGCCTTAAATTATGATTCTAATATTTAATAATTTAGCCAAAAAAAAAAGGAAAAATAAATTTAATATTTTGTTCCGATTCTATTTTGCTACTCACCTTCAACTTTAGCCAATGCCAATACGGAAATTGTTTGCAGTGCCGGTATGGCCCAGGCGACCAAATGAAAGAGATGTGATTTATTTTCAATGGCTTCATGACCCCATTTTAGGCCAGCCGCCAAAAACCAGGCAAATGCCAAACATGACCACCAGGCAAAGGCGGCCATACAGCAGAAATACAAAGCCATGAATAGAATGGCACAGGCCGTTGACTGGCGATGACCCTGGAAAGAGGCAAAGAGGAGAGACACAAAAATAATTTAAAATATGGAAAATGAATTGAAATTCGAATAAAGTCATAAAAATGTTTATAATTCGAATAAAAATAATTTAAAGTATGAAAAATGAATTGATAAAGTCATAAAAATTTTTATAATTCTATAGAGAAAATATGGAAACATTTCCTACCTGTGTTATGGTGGACATCATTTGCAAACGTCCCAGCTTGACTGGTGGTGGGAAGGGTTCCCGACAGGCCACCGAATCTCCGGCTCCTAAGCCGGCCACATAGGCACAGCCCACAACCAAATAGCAGACGGCCAGGAATACAATGGCTCGTTCAGGATAACGGAAGCGGGAGGAGTCAATCAAAAATGTGAGGACCTGAAAAAAAAAGAAAAAAATAAATTGTAGAAAATCTCTTTAAAATTCGGAATAAAGGTTAAATAAATATTAAAAATTCTTCTACATCCGATTAGAGGCATCTCTTGGCTTCAAGTTTCTCCTTTGGAGTGCCCTCCTATCAATACGTTTTACAAAAATATTCACAGTTTTCAAAAAATACACAATAATTAAAAACACTCATACGCCCCTGAGGCCCTTGAAAAAAAACATTAATTTAAAGGACTTAGGATTGTCGTAGGAGAACGAATTTTTGCAATGATACGCAGGAACTTATAGGCAACAACTTTGTCTTTAAAGTTGTCAGGTTAACATTTCATTCACCAAAGATATTCAAACTATTTGGAAAATGCCAAATAATAATATTTGTTCAAGAGTTTCATTAAAATAACTTCATTAAATTAGGGATTTAAAGGCTACGCACTAGGATCATTTGTGCAGAAAAAAGGCTTAATAAACACCAACTATTATTTTCGAGTTGCCAGTTTATCGAAAAATTTTGATGAGATACTCAAAACTTTCGCAAACTTCAAAAAATATGGAATTTCTTTGAAAAAATTCTCAAAAATCCAAAATTTGGAGCAGAGTATTCAAAACACTTATGAACAATGAGCTAGAGGATTATGTCAGCTTCAAGTTTCTCTTTAGAGTCACACCCGTGGCAATTTGTTTTTCAAAGTTATTCAAATATTTCCAAACTACTCAATAATTAATAATACTTATACGCACCACAGGCACTGGAGGAAATAATTAAATTAAAGGTCTTAGGAATGTCATAGATGAACGATTTTTTGCAGCGGCACTACGACACTGATTGGCTACACTTTTCTCTTTAGAGTTACCAGACCTTTTAACTATATCTTCAAGATATTTGAAGAAATTTAAATATTTCTTTGTATTTGTATTTCTTTGAAAAAATTCGCGAAAATTAAGACTTTGAAGCAGAATATTTGCAACACTTTTGTACTATGAGCTAAACGACTATGTTACCTTCAACTTTCTCTTTGGAGTCACACCAGTATCAATTTATTTTCTGGAGTTATTCAAATATTTCCAAAACTGTTCAATAATTAATAAAACTCATACGCCCCTAAGGCCCTTTAGAAAACAATTTATTTAAAGGTCTTAGGAATGTCATAGATGAACAATTTTTTGCAGCGACTCTACGACGCCGATTACCTACACTTTTATCTTCAGAGTTACCAAACTATCAAAATATTTCCTCCAGATATTCCAAGATTTTTGAAAATATCAAAAAAAGAACAATAATAACTTTGCAAGGTTCTCGTCAATAAATTTGGAATAAATTGCAATTTTAAGGCCACACATTCGGACCATTTATGTAAAAAAAACAAAAAGTTTAATAAACAGCAGCTACTTTTTTAGGGTTGCCATTTAATCAAATAATTTTGGGAAGATATTAAAAGAAATTCCCAAACTTCTAAAAGTATTGAATTTCTTTGAAAAGAAATTCTTGAAAATCATGACTTTGGGGCTGAATATTGGGAACATCTATGGATCATACGATAAAGGATTAAGTTTGCTTCAACTTTCCCTTTAGAGTGGCCACAATATTAAATTCGGATTTGGAGATATTAAAAGATTTTAAAAACTACCCAATAATTAATAACACTTATACGCCCCAGAGACCCTAGAGGAAATAATTAAATTCAAGGTGTCAGGTTTAGCCCTCATAAAAGATTTTTTGCAGCGATATTTAGGCACTTATTGTCTACAACTTTTATTTAGAGTTACCAGGTTATCATTTAATTTCTCGAAGATATTCAAAGATACCCAAAAATATGAATTTGTTCATGAATTTCATAGGAACTGCTTGGGAAAATGTTGAATTAGGAACTTCTCAATTAAACTATTAATAATAACTAGGCGATGATCCTTTTATCTAAAATATATTCTTTAGGGTTGCCATATTTTCAAATAGTTTTAAAAAGTTCCTAAATTATTAAAAAAATAACAAAACATTATATACTCTTTTGAAAACCATGAGGAAAATCTCCTCCGGAAACTGCATGCCTGGACCACATGCCGTGCCATGAAATAAAGGAGCTTGTTGTCTTTCACTTTCCCTTTAGACTTGCACCAGTATCAATTCATATCCCGGAGATATTCAACGATTTTAAAAAATATCCAATAATTAATAACACTTATACGCCCCAGAAGCCCTAGAGGAAATAATTAAATCCAAGTACTTCTAGGCATCATAAATGGAAGATTTTTTGCAGCGGTACTCAGACACTTATTGGCTACAACTTTCCCTTTAGAGCTACCAGATTGTCGTTTCCCTTCTGAAAGATATTCAAATATTTTTGACCATACCCGAAAATTACAATTTTCTCCAGGACATCATAAAAAAAAAAAATTAGGAAAAACTAACGATTTTGGTGCCACACCTTCGGACCACTTATGGATACAAATTAAATAATACCATTGACTATTACTTTTCTGCAAGAGTTGCTATATTATGTACTCAAAAGCCGGGAAAATATTTCATATTTTCCAAAATACCTAAAAAATATATATATTTCATTGAAAAAAATTTAAAAGATCGAGACATAGGAGCTACAAATTAGAATCGTTTGTGGGGTCCCTGGTAAAGGCCTTTCTTGGCTACAACTTTCTCTTTAAGGTCACCTCAATATCAATTCAAATCCGTGAAAAATTCAAAACTTTTCAAAAATACCCAATAATTATTATTACTTATACGCCCAAAGGCCCCTGAAGGAAAAACTTGAATTTAAGGCCTTAAGAGCCACAACGATTTGCAATTTTTTGCAGTAGCATTGGGACCCTTTATGCCTACATCTTTTGCTGTAGAGCTACCAGAATGTGAAATAATTTCCCAGATAATTCAAATATTTTTAGGAAAAGTGACCAAAAATATTTTTTTAGAAAAATGACTTGAATCTAAGGCCTTACGAGCCACAACGATTTGCAATTTTTTGCAGTAGTTTTAGGAGGAGCAGTGGCAGAAACTTTCCTTTTAGAGTTGCCAAAATGTAAAACAATTTCCCAGAAAATTCAAGGAATTTTGGGGAAAGTGACTAAAAAATATTTTTTTCTAAGGATTTTCATTGAAAAACTTCTGTGAAATTCTAACTTAGAAACGGATGGTCATAAGCAATCCTTTTGCTGTTATCTAGAGGTACCTCTTGGCTGTTACTTTCTCTTTGGAGTTGAGCCAATATCGCTTTGATTTTTGGAGATATTCAATGATTTCTAAAAATCCCCAGTAATTATTATTACTTATACGCCCCTATGGTCCCCAAAGTAAAAATCAAATTAAAGGACTTTGGATAATCACACAGACACAATTTTTTGGGTGTATTATTAAGGAACTTATTGGCTTCAATTATTCCTCAGGTAGCAGTATTAGCGATTCATTCCCCTCAAATATTCAAAACTGAACAAAACTGTTAATTTTTAATGACTGCTTAAATCTCAAAAATTTGACAATTCCTTGGAAAAATATCAAAAATCAAGGCCATAGGAACTAAACACTCCAAACCTTCTTTCTCATGATAATAGAGGCATATCTTGACTACAATTTCCCTTGTGAAATTGTAAAAATATCATTTCCCCTTTTCAAGATATCTACAAAATTTCCAAAAATACCCAATAATTATTATTACTTATACGTCCGATAGGCCATACAGAAATATCCCAATAAAAAGACCAAGAATAGATATTTTGCAAACATTTTTTGAAAGATTTATTTAAGAATATTTTCCCCGAACCCTACAAACTCCAACCCATGTTTCCTAGGCGATTAAACAAAAGCAAATCCTCGCAAAAGATTAATGAAAAAGATCCTCTTCAAAACACTCGCTTAATTCACAACAATTTGTTAACACAATCTTGACAAATTGAAGGGGCTCCTTTTTTTGGTGGAATCCTAAAAAGCCGGAAAATGTAGCGTAAAGTGACCCTAAAAAAATACATGGCTATCGTTTACAAACGAAAGGAATTTGAAAAAAAAAAAACACCGAACCTAAAATCGATTTGTGTGAGGAGCATGAAATTTACTGTTGCTCTTCTTTTTTGTGCAAATGGCCAACAAATTGCGGTACCACATGAAAAATGAGCAGAAATAGGCAACCGCAGAATAGAAAAAGAAGGGAAAACATTAAAAAGTGTGGGCAGAAGGAGATTTGATGGATTTTTTAATGGATAGGAAGTGGTCTATTTAAGGATTTTTAAAGGATATTTGTTGGCCTAGAGATGAGAATTTTTTAAAGAATATCTACAAGACTCAAATGGTGAATTTTATATGATTTTTTTCAAGAGATTTTAATTCTACAAAGCTTGACTTCTTTATGAATTTTTAAGGAAGGCTAAAGGATACAAAATTTGGATTTTGTTGAGGACATTTATAAGGATACCAAAAGTGGATTTTAAAATCAGCTTCAAGGATATTTACTTTCCATAAAATGCAGTTTTGAGGTTATTTACAGCACACGAGACGTGAAAATTATCTGGAATTTTTTCGAGAAGATTTTCAAAGATATTCGCAGGCCAAAAGATGTGGATTTTTAGAAAATTTTTAAGGAATTTCTTAAGGAAATTTTCAAGGCATCCAAGTGGATCTTTAAAGGAATTTTTCCAGGCTATATACAGATCAGCAAACTTGGATTTTTAAAGGTTATTTACAGGCCACCACGACTGGATATTCTAACCTAATGTTATTTTTTAGTAAATTTTTGAGGACAATTTGGAGACTACTAAACATAGATTTTAAAGGTTTTTTTTTTTGTTTTAAAACGCCCATAAAACGTGGCATTTCTTAAGAATTTTTGAAGACTATTTGAATGATACCAGACATGGGCTATGAAGGAATTTTTGTGGAATTTTGAAGACTACCAAGCATGGCTTTCTCAGGGATACGTGGAGTCTATTTTCAGTGGATTTTTAGAAATATTTGGGAGCTGCAAGAGCTTGTTTTAAAAACGATCAGACATATTTTT